TTGACCAAGCGCCCCATCTCCTTCAGTCGCAAATATATCTACATCTGTTCTGTAGATTGATATTTTTTCACCGAAAGCTAGACGAATGAAGAAAATGTAAGATGTTATTACCCATTATTACCCCATGTGCCTCAAAATTAACTAGCGCTTGATTCCACCGCGTCGTGTCACCAATGTGAAATAACGGGGTGTTTCCTCCCTACAATCGGTTCGTCGGGTTTCTGTATAGTGTTACGGTTAGACGCTTGTCTGTTGCACACAGAAAACCCGAGTTTGATTCCCCTGTAGTGAGAATGTTTATCAAGTATCTCATCGGCCTTTTTGCAAAGACATTTTAACCTCCTCAACTTTTATTAAGTGATCTAATTTTGTCGATGGGGGCGTAAAACACCCCCCCCCCCCTTCCTTCCAGCTGAAAGAAAAATAGAAACCAAACCCCCTTTCTTTAAAAATAAACAAGGGGTTCTCGTGGCCTGGAGGTTAAGGTATTGGCCTCTCGTTCAAAAGTCCTGGGTTCGAATCCGGGTAGCGACCAAAAAACTTTTTTCTCTTAAATTGTCCCCTTTCACCTCCTTTCCTTTTATCTAGCAATGTTCTGTCGTCTTCTTTCGTCTTCTCTTTCTGCCAACACCTCCTCACCTCCTTTGCCCCCTCAAGTGGGCTCTCTCCCTTACTATGCGGTTGTCTTGTGCCAAAATAATCAGGACTGAACCGGATCTTTTACAGAATCCGCTTCAAACGATGAATGCATGATAACAACTTAAGATGCTCCCTGCCATATATATGTATATATATTATACTATGTGTGTGTTTTAATGTGTTGACGTGTTGTGTGTTTGTGTGTGTGTAGGCCTATGTGTCCATGCGTGCGTGCCTGTGTGGGTACGTGAGTATGTGCGTGTAAATTTAATAGTATTGGTCAAAACCAATACACGTAGGCCTAGTAGTAAAGTATAAAATCAGCCATCAAATAAGCAAAATGTAATCGCTATAAGGTATAGCGTTACTATTCTAATAAATCCACAGAAGGCAAGAGTGTGACGGTTAGATATTCAAATGTCCTTCCAATGTCCAGCAAAGGTCAATCTGGGTCGAACAACCGCCGTTCATGTGGCTGGTCAGACAAAGTGGCTATCTAACTGTCATCGCAAAGGTGACCACTGGGCCCGGGAAAAAGGCAGGATCCGTGTTGGACACTGTCCACTCCGGGGAAAGTCCCCGGGCCATAAAGCGAAGGGCGGTGAACATGCTGTGAAACTGTGTCGGTTATGAATAATATATGTGTGACATCGTAGGGAAATCAGGCGCTCGTCGGAATAATGCAATCAAAAGAAATATCTCGCCTGTTCGGACAATTTTTTTTTCAATCGTTTTGCGTGACCCTGCATCATTTATGTCCATTAAAAATATATTACTACATGAGTGGATTTTACTGAAAAAAAGGTGACGGAAAGTACAATTAATATTATTGTAAATTTGCTGTTTCC